CAAGCTCACCTTGAATGATATTCTTTTCTTAAGAGCATAGGTTCTCAAATTGTGGCCGTGTAGTTACTTATCAATGTCTTCAGTTGTCTTTATATATTTCCATCTTTTATAGTTGACTTTAGTTGGGGGGGTTGGTCTGATACAAGCTACTCTGTCATGATCAAAACCAGAACTCTGCAGATGGAATTTAAACTTAGATTTCCAGAGGACTGAGTAACTTGGGGATAGAGTGAAAACGTTCAGTGCACGGGATTCTTGCATCTTTATGAAAACAACTTCAGGGTTGGTTATTCCCTGAAAATGCTTCCCAGGACATAATGTGGCAGGCGAGCCAAGAAAAAACACATTATGTATTTTCATCATGCTCAGGAATGAAAATGTGAAACTGAAAATCACAAAAATGGCCAAAAGAAGGAGACTGATTAAACGAACATGGGTCAATCCATACATTAGAATATTCTGCTGACAAGGAAGTAGGAAGGTGATCATGATGTGTTGCTATGTGAATAATTCTGTGGAAGCATGGTGGGACAATTCCAGTTTTTCATAATGTTACATGAAAGCCTATATATGTAAAGAAAACTTCTGGAAGAAGATAACAACTTATCTCTTCAAATTGATTCTTTACTTTTTTCTTTCTTTGTACATATCTTTATTTTCTAATTTTTCTACTTGTCCAAAAATTAAAATGATAAACCAAATGGATTACTTTTCATGGGAATCATGACCACAGGCTGGGCTTACACTCTCTCCTGAATTAGTCAAGTGTCTACAAGGGGACTGGCCCCTGCTGGCATCTAGGTCTCAGGTCCCAGTAGAGGCCATTTGCATGGCCATTTGGTGAAGTCTCAGGAAGCCACACCAACATCTGCATGCATGTCCTCGACTCACCGGCAGGTGTGGGGTGTGTGTCAGGTCAAGACCTTCCTTGACCTCCCTGCATAAATTAGCACCCTCATCCCATACTCCGTTCCTCCCTCATAGGCTGGACAGATATTCAGCTGAATACGTCAGTATGGCCACAGTGGTTATAATATTTTAAATTTTTTCTGTACTACTCGGGAAATATATCCTGCTCAGAGACTCCAGCTTGTCACCACCCCAGCTTTACCCCCAGAACTCCAGCCTCCCCACGACCCCAAGTCTAAAGAATTAGCATCCAGAACAGCCCGGGGAGCCCTGGACCTGCCTACAGAGCTAGACTGATGTCCTTTTCGACCAGCCAGTGCCCATGCCAGCTGGCTGCTGAATACTTTGACACAAACCCCTTCACGGCTCTTGTTTGCACCTGGTGCATGCATGTCCCTTTATTCACAGATTTATTGTCTGCCGCCTCTCGTGCCCACTAGAATGCCAGCTCCATGAGGACAGAGTTCAGTCTGTTCTCACTGATACATCCCCAGCCCCGGCATAATCCTGACACGTAGTAGGACCCTATAAATATATGCTGGGTGATTATGTCTGAAACTCGGCCCAGTGCCAGTAAGCCAGAAAGGACACATGATCGGGGGCTGGCCTGTGGCTCACTTGGGAGAGTGTGGTGCTGACAACACCAAGTCAAGGGTTA